AGGAAGGAATAGATATATAAGGGAGGCAGGAAAAGGGATGAGAGAGAGACAGACAGACAGACAGATAGCAGACAGATGGATAGAATAAAGGGAGGGAGGGAGAGAGAGACAGAGAGAGAGAGAGAGAGAGAGAGATTCCAGAAACAAATTCCAGACACTCACCCATCTCGATCCCAAACTGCACCCGGCGATCGACATCTTCCGCCCAGGTGTCCTGCTTAGCGCCGTGCCACACGACCGGGAAAATGCTGCGGCTGAGGTGAGCTTGGCGGGCCACCTGTTCGTCCTGGGTCACGGCGATAATGAGAGCCCGAGGCCGGTAGCGGGAGAGGATCTGCGCAGACCTGGATTTGGGGGGGGAGAGAGGGAAGATCCAGAGTGAAAGCGAAACAGAATCGCCCCCACCAAATTTGTGTGGGAAATTCGGAACCCGGGGCTTTGCTCCTTACCGCCAACAAGTCAGGAGAGCCCTATCTCCCTTGGGCAACAAGCAGGAGACCCCTCTCTTAGGCTCCCCCCCCTCTTCTCACCTGCCGGTGGAGGTGAGGACAAGGATGGCCGCCGCGCAACATTTGAAGGAGGCCTCCACAGCACCGATGGCGGTCACCTCGGTCGGATCTTGGCTTAAGGGCGTCAGGCGCCGCAACTCCTGGAAGAGCTGGTGGTGATACATGGCGGCTTCGGCCTCTCGGGCGATCTGTGCGTTAAGGAGAGGGGGGGGGGAAACGTAGAAAAAAGGTTAATTTTCCTCTACCCTCCTCCTCCATTCTTCCTCTTCTGCCCGGACCCTTTTTGTTTCTCAGATTCCTGGTTTGCTAGGCTCCTGGCTCCTTTCCCTCTTCCCTCCTCCTCCCTTCTTCCTCTTCCGCCATGCCCAGGCCAGTGAGCTTCCGCTTCCCAAAGGGAAGGGCCGCCTTACCGCATGCTGCATGCGCACAGCCTCCACCACGTAGGCCCCCTTGGCTGTCTCCCCGGACAGCATAATGCAGTCGGCCCCATCTAGGACGGCGTTGGCCACGTCGCTGCTTTCCGCCCTGGTGGGACGAGGCTTTTTGATCATGCTCTCCAGCATCTGTCCAAAGAAAGGGGCATCTTAGCTCCCCAAGTGCCCAGACTGTGAGGCCAGGGTGGGGCGGAGTGTGCTGGCTGGGGGATTCTGGGAGTCGAAGTCCACTCCTCTTAAAGGAAGCTGGCTGGGGGATTCTGGGAGTTGAAGTCCACCCATCTTAAAGCTTACTGGCTGGGGGATTCTGGGAGTTGAAGTCCACCCATCTTAAAGCTTACTGGCTAGGGGATTCTGGAAGCTGAAATCCACCCCTCTTAATTCAAGCTGGCTGGGGAATTCAAGGAGTTGGAAGTCCACCCCTCTTAAAGGATGCTGGCTAGGGAATTCTGGGAATTGAAGTCCACCCATCTTAATTCAGATTGACTGGGGAATTCTGGGAGTTGAAGTCCACCCATCTTAATTCAAACTGCTGGGGAATTCTGGGAGTTGAAGTCCACCCATCTTAAAGCTTACTGGCTGGGGGATTCTGGGAGTTGAAGTCCACCCATCTTAAAGCAAGATGGCTAGGGGATTCTGGGAACTGAAGTCCACCCATCTTAATTCAGGTTGACTGGAGAATTCTGGGAATTGAAGTCCACCCATCTTAATTCAAGCTGCTGGGGAATTCTGGGAGTTGAAGTCCACCCCTCTTAAAGGATGCTGGCTGGGGAATTCTGGGAGCTGAAGTCCACGCATCTCAACCTTTCCCCCTTACTTGCAGGGCCAATGGGGGACCACCATCTCTATCCACCTCCAACGATTTCCACCTGCCCAGAGAGGTCCTGCTTTTGGCTCCCTTCTAGGAAACAGCGCCACCTGTTGATTGAAGGAGCCTAACCCGCCAGGTGTGGCATTTCGTACAGCTCACCTGCGTGGCGCAGATCACCGGTTTGCCCGCACGGTTGCACCGGCCGATCATCATCTTTTGAGCCAGGAAAACCTTCTCGGCGGGGATTTCGATCCCCAGATCCCCACGAGCCACCATGATGCCATCGCTGGCTTCCAGGATCTCATCAAACCTCAAGACAAGAGCAAAGATTACAGGCCAAGCTCAGCCCACAGGTGCTCCACAATTTTTCGACGTTCGTTTAGCAAGCAAGGTTACAACTGCACCGGAAAACAGTGGCATATGCCTGACATATGCCTAGCTGATACAACTCACTGTTCAAACCATTAGATATCTCTTGTATAACATGGGTCCCCATTTGTGATCCAGATGGATATTCCTCTAAAGCAGTGGTTCTCAACCTTTTTAATGCCGCGACCCCAACCGGTCGTAAGTCGAGGACTAAACCGGTCGTAAGTCGAGGACTACCCAACCGGTCGTAAGTCAAGGACTTTCCCTGCCTGGGAGCGCCGTGCATGCGTGGTTCCGCCCCCTGAGCCGGCCGAGGCGTAGCTGGCAAGCGGCAGAGACGGAGCAGGCCGACCACCAGCTGGCCCAGCCCAAGGGAGGTAAGGCACCCGCTGGAAAAGGGGGAAAAAAATGGCGGACAAAAAAAATGGCGGACAAAAAAAATGGCGGACAAAAAAAATGGCGGACAGCCTTGCTTGGCGACCCCCATGAAATGGTCGATCGACCCCAAATGGGGTCCCGACCCACAGGTTGAGAACCACTGCTCTAAAGTAACTGACATACATACATACATACATACATACATACATACATACATACATACATACATACATACATAAACACATACATATATACATCAAGAAAAACAGAATGGACCTCTTCTCATAAAACAGGGCTTCCCTATCCTTTTACAAGGCATTTTGGGAAATCTCCCATTATAGTGTTGTAGAAATAAGGGACTTGTGCCAGCTCTTTGAGGAAGGAAAGGTTTATTGCGCAGGTTCAGAGAGCTACACAAAGCAAAGGGTCTGAACCCCGAGGAGTGTCCAGAGCTCACATATACAGTTTATGCAACGTATGCATTTCCTGACCCCTCTCGACCCCATATATGGTAATATTCTAAACATTCGTGTTCTCAGCATTCTTGATAGTATGGAAAAATACCAGACGGTTGAACATTGACACAGAGATAAAAAATAGGGAACTGGCTACTAAGCAAAGCAAGAAACAGGATATGGCTTAAACGGGCAAGAACAGTGGGGCAGAATATTATCTCGAGACACAGCAATTTCTGGAATGCTGTATCCCTTCACTTTGCCCTACTTCAATAGCAACAACACTTAGACTTATACACCGCTTCACGGTGCTTTACAGCCCTCTCTAAGCGGTTTACAGAGTCAGCCTGTTGCCCCCAGCAATCGGGGTCACTAAATGAAGCGTTGCGAGTCGCGGGCTGCCTGTAAGCCTAGAAAAAGAAGCTTTGGGAGGCTACCTCTTGACCCCCTCGTGGTTTTCGATCTTGCTGATGATTTTGATGCGGCGGCCGCGTTCGCCCAGCGCCTGCCGGATGCCCATCACGTCGCCCGCCTTGCGGATGAAGGAGGCGAAGATCATATCAATGCCCTGCTGCATTCCGAACTCCAGGTCCTGTTTGTCCCGCTGGGACAAGGCTGGCAAGTCCACTTTGGCCCCCGGCAAGTTGACTCCCTTCCGGCTGCAGAGCATCCCGCCGTTCTCCACTTCGACCGCACAACTGTCGGGACCTAGTGGTTAGCGAACAAACGAGGGAGGGTGAGGAGGGCGGAGACGCAAAATAAGGAATGAAGATTTCAATTGGATCTGGAAGGGCGATGCCCACTTTGAAAACATACTCTTTAAAATAACTTTAAAAAAAATAATCAGCATGCTAGTTAGGGAATTCTGGGAGTTGAAGTCCACCCCTCTTAAAGCAGGCTGGCTGAGGAATTCTGGGAGTGGAAGTCCACCCCTCTTAACGCAGGCTGGCTGGGGAATTCTGGGAGTTGAAGTCCACCCCTCTTAAAATAGCCAAGGAGCGAAAGGGATCCACCCGCCCAATGGGGGAACACTTACGGAGCTCCTTGACCAGTAAGGAGATCTGCCCGTCATCAATAAAGATCCGTCCGCCAACCTTAACAACTTTCGGCAAGTTGGCGTAATCCACCCAAATTGTCTGCGGATCACATTGCTCCCGGTAGGCCGGATCGGTGGTCACGATCAATCGGGATCCTTTGACCAGTTCTACTTCTTTGTTCTCGCCCTGGGAAAAAAAGATCGCGAGAAGGATGCAAGGAAGTGTTACTCCCCTAACAATTGGGGTTGCTTAACAACCCCAGTTGGGACCGGGGAAAGAAGTTTTAAATTTATCCCTCCGTCTCACCCCTTTAATCAACCCTGTCCGGATTTCAGGGCCTTTGGTGTCCAAAGCGATGGCCACGGGCCGGAAGAAGAGAGGATTCGTGGTGAAGCTTTGGGTTGCTTCCCGGATATTTGCAATGGACTTTGCGTGGTACTGAAAGGAAATGAAATTGAAGTCAAAGTCTGGAACACTTTAACCCCTTCATTGGCATCTCAGAAAACCCTTCCTTCCTTCCTTCCCCTAATTCCTTCCTTCCTTCTTTCTCCTGTAATTTGTTCCTTCCTTCCTTTCTCCTTTCCTTCCACTTTATTCCTTCCATTCTAATCCCTCCCTCCCTGTTCCTTCCTTTTTCCTCCTTTCCTTCTTTCCTTTCTCCTTTCCTCCCACTTTATTCCTTCCATTCTAATCCCTCCCTCCCTGTTCATTCCTCCTTCCTTCCTTCTCTCCTTCCCCTAATTCTTTCCTTCCTTTACCCCCCTCTAATTTCTTCCTTCCTTCCTTTCCCCTTTCCTTCCACTTTCTTCCTTCCCTACTTCCTCTCTCCTTCCATTCTAATCCCTCCCTCCCTGTTCCTTCCTTTTTCCTCCTTTCCTTCTTTCCTTTCTCCTTTCCTCCCACTTTATTCCTTCCATTCTAATCCCTCCCTCCCTGTTCCTTCCTTTTTCCTCCTTTCCTTCTTTCCTTTCTCCTTTCCTTCCACTTTATTCCTTCCATTCTAATCCCTCCCTCCCTGTNAAGGAAAGAGAAAGGGAAGGAAAGGAAAGGGAAGAGGAAGGGAAGGGAAGGGAAGGAAGAAAGGGGAGAGGGAAGGAAAGGGGGAGAGAGGGAAGAGAGGAGAGGGAAGGGAAAGGAAAGAAAAGGGATGAAAGGGAAGGGAAGGAAAGAGAAAGGGAAGGAAAGAGAAAGGGAAGGAAAGGGAAGGAAAGGAAAGGGAAGAGGAAGGGAAGGGAAGGAAGAAAGGGGAGAGGGAAAGAAAGGAGGAGAGAGGGAAGAGAGGAGAGGGAAGGGAAAGGAAAGAAAAGGGATGAAAGGGAAGGGAAGGGAAGGAAAGAGAAAGGGAAGGAAAGAGAAAGGAAAGAAAAGGGAAGGAAAGGAAAGGGAAGAGGGAAGGAAAGGGGGAGAGAGGGAAGAGAGGAGAGGGAAGGGAGGGGGAAAGGAAAAGATAGAGAAGGAAGGAAGGAGAGGAAAGGAAAGGAAAGGCATGAAAAGAAAGGAGAGGGAAAGGAAAGGAAATAGAGAAAGAAAGGAAAGGAAATAGAGAAGGGAAGGGAAGGAAAGGGATGGAAGAAAGGAAAGCAAGGGAGCGAAAAGGGAAAATAAAAAAACACAGCAAGAACTTTGAAACCAATCTGGGTGAATTTCAAAAGCCTTATTTTGGTACAGAGTATCAAACCCAGCAATGTTACACATAACTTCCTGTCCTTGGTTTATTTTGTTTTTATACTACTCCCTACTTCTCTGGGTGTTAAACATTCATTTAGGGACGGTTCGAAGTTTTACAACAGCAGCACTGAAAAATGTGACTTGGGACTGAGTCCTCGCATGCTTCAGCAATCTTTGGGCCCCGTTTTGCAAACCTCTCTGGATTGTGATCCAGGGAGATCTGAGCGAGTTTTCCTCTCTCTCTGCAATTTGAGAGAGAGAGAGAGAGAGAGAGAGAGAGAGCAGAAAAGCACTGGACGGCAACCAGAAGCCTTGCCCATGGCCTCCTTGGGGCGAAGCTGGCCCAGCCGAAAGCTTGCCAGAGAAAGGTCAAAATAATTACAGCAGCTTTGAGTGTCAGGGCACCCATCTCCACCCTGTTTTTGCAACTGGAGCCTTCAACCTTTGCTCCCAGCCCTCGCCTTCTCCCAGCCTCTGGGAGGGACAGCCTGGTCCCAGGCCCCTGCGGAGAAAATAAAAGAAGACAGAGGTCATACAGGCCTGTTGGGCTGTTTATTTCCCTCCCTTTTTTTTTCTTGCTTTCTCCGGACTGCTGGGGAAGTGTAATAAGCAAGGCGGAAAGGACTGCTGGTCTAAGAATTCTGGGCCAGCCCCTTTCCTAGGGAGATTTCCACCCCTGCACAAAAACCCACAACCACACCCAGCAGCAGCAGCAGCAGCAGCAGCAGCCTGTGTCTCCTGTTCAGAGCTTGCAATTAAGAAACGGGAGCAGTTGAGGCTAATTCTCTTTTCCAAACCAGTTTCCCTGAATATTTTTGGCGGGATTAACTGTAGGCAACTTCCCCTGAAAGTGTGCCAAGCCTTTCCTGCCTTGAAAACACTCTCTCTCTCTCTCTCTCTCTCTCTCTCTCTCTCTCTCT